GTTATTTAAATTTTCTATATCATTTGTTTAACATTTGTCTTATGCGAGCTTAAGTTCGAAACATTCATTCCCAATTCTCAAATATCTAAATCTATCCGTGTTTAACAATAAATATTTGTTAATTTGTACATGTATTGTGCCTCGACATGGCCGATGAGTCGCCTTAGTTATGTTGGTCCGATGAAATAAAATTAAGTTTTTTTTTGTGCTATCATTATAACAAACAAAAAAATATTTCGAAGATATGGGAAGTCCGTCAACTGCACTAGGATCGCGTGGAACACTATGCCATAATAACCTCTTACACCTCTACAGAGGAGGCCTTTGCCCAGCAGTGGGACAATAAATCAATAGTGGGTGGCATGTAGTACAATCTTTCCGTTTATGCTTATTATTTCCTACTCTATGAAATAATTTAGCACTGACATAACTAAATTATATCACGAAACTTACAGTGAGTCACTTAATTATTTTCATGATATAATTATGAAGCTTAGTCGCATGAATAAATAAAATGGCGTTGAAAATACTTAAGCAACAATTTAATCTGTTAAATCCTGTCGAGTTACCATTAACCGATGAAACGAGCTCATTGAATTATCAAGCCTCTGACCCGTTCTGTCATTTAAACATTTTGAATATTATAATAGAGAAGCTCGGTAGAAATAGAATTAACGCTTTCAGTATATCATCGCTTTACATGTTTTCGAAATTTTTCAGCCACAAAAACTGTTTATGCCTTATTTAATGTAATATTTAGATAATAAGTAATTCACCTTTAAAAATATATCAAGAAAACTATTTTCAATATCTTTTAATTTTAATTTTGTTGACTTAAAGGAAGACCAAAGTCTATTAATCTCGACTGAGATAAATCTCTGGTACTGGAAGATGACGGTAAACATCCCTAAATGATTAATAGTGTAAACCTTTGCAACTTAATAGAGGGAGATTAAGTTGTTTTAACTATGTTATCTGAAAGGGGTACGGTGGTTACCTCCACTTTCTGTTGTAACTTGTAGTTATGTATATAAAAAAGAATATCTTATAATATAAGAAGTATCATATAATAATTATAATTATATCATTAAACTTGAAAATTCCAAATTATTATGGTTTTTATACCTTGTGCGTTCGTGCGTCCACTTAAAAAATCAAATTTAATATATGAAGTTTTTTTATAAACATCTTGGTGTAACTTATTTTAATGGTACATAATGACGTTTTAATACTATCTATTGGAGCGTCATCTCGAACGATTGATTTAAAAATAATGTAAACTTAAGGAAACTATTTTTTTTTTCACAGATTTCGATGGTCTTCTGACCATGAACGCTGAAGTTTTAGAAATATCGGAAACTAAAATTAAAAATAAACTCGATAAATCCGTGAAAAAATAATAAATCATTTAGTAATGTGTAATCGCGTAAATGCAAGAAATTAAAGGAAATTTCGTCAAATTTGCTTCATCGGGTACGTTCATAGGTCACTGATCACGTGGGCTTCGATAATTTGTGTTATATAGAATTACTTTTTCAGTTACGTTTATTACTTTAATTATATGTGTTCTATAGAATGTTTAAATTACTCTTTGAATTACGTTTAAGACTTCAGGTACTGAGCGATGATGGATAGATCTAAATCTCTATGTAGGTGGATATTCAGCATGAACCACGGTGCTCCCGTGGCTATGCACATGAATCAATTTTGAATGACCTGAAGTCGGTGTATTTGCTTCGGTGTGTGAGCGAATACCAGACTAAAGCCGAGGCGTGATAGCTCATTGTCCGGAAGCTATTAATACAAAATACTCGGGCAACCGGACCTCGATCCCCGGTGCCGGCACCAATAAAATTGTAAATTTTAAGTGTTGACTTATCACGTGCTGAACTGTGATGGATAACGTCGTGAGGAAACCTGTATATTTTCGAAATAAAAAATATTTAGAAAAATATGTGATGGCCGCCAATCCGTAGGGGGGTCGCGTCATGGACTATCCCCTCATTACCTTCTGTACGGAGAACGCCTTCACCCAGCAGAGCGACATAATTATGAACTTTCTTTACTTTACTAAACTTGTTTCAAATAGTAAAAAACGTTTTATACAACGATTTATTTTAAATTATTACTTGTTCGTTTTTATCGTTTTATTTCTGTAATAAAGGTTAAATGTAATATAGAGATGCCACATAATTTTCGTTTCAAGTAACATTTGCTTCTAACTACTCGAACTATCTACTAACGACTAAATAAATATTGACTGTAAAAATGAAATGATATCCTAGTTGCATTAAATTTTATTCTTCATTACATAATATGTTTAAATTGACATCGTGATATAGTTAATACAAACTATCAATAATCTTTTACAAATGTCACGCATTCTTCTTGAAGGAAATAATTGAACATCATACTCAAATGCCACCTAAACCACAATTTCACGACTTTGCTGGCTTTACGAAGGCTTAAAGAGACCGGACATAAATCCGACACACATCGTAAACCACAGGCATCAACTGAGTATTTTAAATATTTATACATTTTCCAACAAGATAAACCCAAATAGATCATTGTACAAAATGATTTATAAACGTAGATAAAAAGCAAACTGAAGTAGTTTATAAATTTAAATTTGAATGTCAAAACAATTAAATCATAATCTTATATTTTATATTCAAGAATTTTTATTTGTAAAATAGACTTTTTTTATTGTAAATTTCTGTAGATGAACGAACAAAAACTATCGGCGCTGCGGAATTCGAATTTGCGTCTTCTAGTTTCTGAAAATAAATTTCACATATTTTTCAAATATTTATTTCTATTGTTGTTGTTTCCATCGGATACATTTTTACTTTCACTTTAAATGATGTTTCTGCCATCAGTCTGTAGACTATTAAATATTCATCGAACGCAGAACTCGTGGGCTAACGTGAACCCGCAAGCATTAAGCGGCCATGCGCGTTGGGTAGTAGTAGTTGACTTTCTCAAATGTTGACTAGGGCGGCGAGAACCGCTCTGAAACACAAGGTTTCAGAGCGGTTCTCGCGGATACGCATTGTGTCTGTTTCACCGTGCTTGTATGCGAGGACAAACTACGTGGAACCTACGAATCGAACCCACGTCTGCGGCATTCGCGGCCTGACGCTCTAGCCACTAAGCTAAACGGCTGATTTCAGTTTAGCTTAGTGGCTAGATTAAAGCAGTATCGGCCTCGTCGTCGGGGGTCGTGGGTTCGATTCCTACACGGGAACACTATTTGTGTGATCCACGGATAGTTGTTTCGCATCTGGGCGTTTGTCCGCGTGAATTTTCTGTTCGTAAAATGCCCTTGCAACACAGGATAATGTTATCCTGAAGTAAAGGCAATGTGTAAAAAAAAACTTGAAGAATGACCGTTATCGTAGGTGCAAGCAAAGAAAGACTGCACTTTCAGATCCGCTGGGTATCGCACGTCAATAACAGGTGGAACATAAAATTATCACTTGATGTTAATCTGTCCACATTACATAAAAACTAGTGATGTTCCGGATATCCGTATCCGTATCCGTATCCGCGGATATACGTAGGAAAAAAACGATCCATATCCGCTTCATTTTTGACAGATCTTTTACGTTTTACCCTCATACTCGTAATAAAATTATAATTCTAATTAAGTTAATTAATATACTGTGACAATTAAAGGAACGGTAAAATAAAATTTAAATACATGTTATACATTTATAAACAGCCAGACACTGGAAAAACATTATATTCATCACACAATATTTTTCCAGTAGTCAAGTAGTTTGATTGACGCCCGGTTTCTGAAACACTAATCGTCGTAGAAGTCAACTAACCAGCTGTCAAATGGTTTTTCAAGTGCTACTTGAGTTGCCAAAAGGATTGTTAAACTCTGAATTGATCAGAATGATCTTCTTAATGATCAGACTTCTACGATGATCAGTGTTTCAGAAACCGGGCGTGAGACCACCAAACTTTTTACTGTTTCTGCCAATACTTTAGTGGATCGTAGCTCTCTTGGTAAACTCTTTTTTGACATATACTGTATGAGTTTTCATATCTAATATTCATCATCATCGTCAATATCTCACATGTTAGCCATAGACTATTCTAGACACTAACAAAAATCATTGCTTTGTCCTTAGTATCTTTTGTAGTTGCTGTGAGATTTTCATTATTTTCCAAAGTTCTAAGCAATTTTTTTTATTCCTTTGATCCATGGGTCTAAAAATGTGGCTTTTTGAATTCTTTTTTATCAATTTCTGAAAAAGTAAAATCTAATTCATCCTTCGAATGAGACACAAAATCAAGAACGGTGGATACACTAATATTGAGATTTTCCTGGTTAAGATTCGTATCCGTATTCACGGATTTTGACGCCAATGATCCGTATCTGGATCCGTATCCACGGATCTACAATATTAATGATCTGGCACATCTCTTATATATATAAAAATGGATTGCTGTTCGTTAGTCTCGCTAAAACTCGAGAACCGTTGGACTGATTTGGCTAATTTTGGTTTTGAAATATTTGTGGCAGTCCAGGGAAATTTCAAACGATGGGAAATTATGGAAAAATTGCATGGAAAATCTGAATAGCAATTATTTTATGTTCCCATACAAACTGTACCTGTCAACCTGTCAACTATGTCTGTGTAACCTGTCAAACACTTTATGCGTGCGTTCCGAATCCTTTATAAATAATTTATATGGCAAAACAACGTTTGCCGAGTCAGCTAGTCTACTAACAAAAACCTATAGACAAACTTAAAATGGCAAGATCCATTACGGACTCAATCACCTTTTTTATTCTCATTTTTAATTTTATTCTCAATTTTAGTATGAATAAAACGTCATTTAGTTATTTCGAAAGTACGAAGGTTTATTGAAGTATAATTTTAAACTAAAATTACTAAACAAAAAAAGAGAGACGATTCCAGATTCACGTTAAACTAATTAGGGATTGGCGGCGTCCCGACAGGATGCGCACGCGCGTGCTACTCGTGTAATGGCTCGCGGCTAACTGGTGGTGCGGGGGAATTCCGACGGGCACGCAGTCGGGCGGATTGTCGGGACGTCCCCGGAGCCCGTCCAATCCGAGAGGTGGCGTGATTTGACCGCGGTGCTATAACCTCCCCCCCCAAGTCACTAGCACGACCCGTCTGTGACTTGGCCGGACGACCACGTCGACGCCCATGTTCGATCGCGGTCATTTCGCCTACGTAAGGAGTCAGAGCACTGGCGTGATACTTGCCCCTAATGGCACCAGGGTTATCAACAACTAAAAATGTCGTTGGACTAATCACCTGTGAGACCTGATAGGGACCCTCTCTCCTTGGCGCAAATTTACTAGTAATTCCTTTGGCTGCATTACTTGCCATATGGGTCTCCACGAGCACTAGGTCCCCTTTCTTATAGGTAATAATGTCTCTCCTATGCTGATCACCAACAGCTTTCCTAATGTCTTGCTGATCTTCCACTCTATGCTTCACTTCGTGCAAGATGCGAGCGAAATTCTGTAAATACGGTGTTATCTGAGGCACAAAGTTTTGTTGCGATACGATAGCACGAAGGTCGGTATGCACCGTCATGGGTGAACGCAATTCCCGGGCAAAAGTTAGGTAAGAAGCTGTTTTACCCGTTCCTTGGTTATAAGCGCTGTTCAACGCGAAGCGTACCATAGGCAGAACCGTCGGCCATCGTCGATGCTCATTTCCTACCAAAATAGACAGAAGCAGCTTCAACTCCCTATTCTTACGTTCTGCCGGATTAGCTTCTGGGTGGTAGACTGGTATCAAAGATTGTTGAACGCCAAGAACAAACATTGCCTTTTGCATAGCAGCTGAAACGAATTGAGTTCCATTATCGGAGATCACACGTCGAGGCATTCCATAGCGCAAGAAAACTTCTTCTAAAAGAACTTTGGCGCAAGACTCGGCGGTAGCGTCGCGCAAGGCAAATAACTCAACCCATCGGCTGGCTGTATCACAGCGGAAAAGAACACCTTGAGAAAGATAATAGCCCCTGTCCGTCCAGCGTACAGCTGCATCAGGGTTATTAGTGTCTTCAAAATCAGCGATGATCTTCTGTACCTCTGGGTCATCAAGCTGCGCGTTGCGGAGGTTTTCCGGATTACGCTGCGGTAAGTCAATAGTCACAGGACAGATACTACATGGCTCAGCTTCTCTCGTCTCTTCTTCCGAAGCCGGTACAGGACGACTCAGTGTATCAGCGACGACGTTTACCTTTCCGGGTGTATACTCGATGCCCAGATCGTAAGATTGTATTTTCATAGCCCACCGGGCTAGTCGACCACTGGGTGTCTTCAGAGTCAAGAGCCACTTTAACGGCTGATGGTCAGTAGTTATCTTAACATGACTTCCTTCTATGTACGAGCGGAATTTATCCAAAGCCCACACCACTGCTAGGGCTTCTCGCTCGGTAGTATGGTAATTACGCTCAGCAGGGGTCAGCAACCTGCTGGCGTATTCAATTGGGCGCTCGTCCTTAGGAGTTTCACCCTGCATCAAGACGGCGCCTAACGCATATCCGCTAGCGTCGGTTCGTAGCGAAAACGGCTCTTCAAAGTTTGGTTGGCGGAGAATCGGGCTGGTGGATAGCCGTAGCTTCAACTCGACGAAAGCTCGTTGCTCTCCCTCCCCCCATTGCCAACGTCGGTTCTTCTTTGTCAAGTCAGACAGGGGCCGCGCTATGTCCGAAAAACGCGGAATGAACTTGCGAAACCACGCGCAAGTTTGCATGAAAGTCCTTAACTCTTTCAGGTTCGTCGGAGGCTGCATTTTCATTACTGCTTCGACCTTCGTGGGATCAGGCTCGATATCTCCTGCAATAACTACGTGGCCCAGGTAAGTAACCTTCTCCCGTACGAACACACACTTATCTCTGTTTGCTTTCAGATTAAATAGACGGAGTCGTTCGAAGACCTGCTCTAGATCCTTCAAGTGTGCAGCCGGATTGGACGAAATAATCAGCAAATCATCGAGGTAGGCTAAGACGCAAACTTCCTTTAATCCAGACCTCATTCGGTCTATTAAGCGCTGGAACGTTGCTGGAGCGTTTTTAAGACCAAGAGCCATGCGACGAAATTGGAACGTTCCGAACGGTGTAGTAAAAGCTGTTTTGTGTCGGTCCTCCGGAGCTACAATCGTTTGCCAGTAACCAGCCTTTAAATCGATCGTAGACATCACACAGCCTGGTTTTGTACTCTTCAGCAGCTCATCAATCACCGGAAGTGGATACTTATCAGTACGGGTGACGCTGTTCAGCTTGCGGTAATCGACACAAAACCAAATCTCACCATTCTTCTTCGGTATCAACACAACAGGTGAGGCCCATTCGGATTCAGCGTCTTCGATGATTTCATCTTCTAACATCTACTCAATCTCCTTCCTCATCACCTCTTTCTTCGCAGGATTAACCCGATACGGCGGGCTAGCAATTGGCGTGGCATCTCCCGTATCAATACGGTGGACAGCGAATTGAGTAGGTCCTCCCCCCGGCGTAAAAATGTCCTCGTAAACATTCAGGAGGTCAGTTAATCGCTGACGTTCATCTGGAACCAGATGGGTACCCTCGTCATCACGAAGACCCACAGACGAACAATGAAGTGGTTTTAAAGAGCGAGCTTCAAAGGTGATAGGTTGAGGATCCCTATCATGTCTCACAGACCACAGACTGAGATCAAAGTCGAGTATCACGCCAAACTCCTGAATAAAATTCATCCCTAATAAACTTTCGGTCGCGTCGGGAAGCATAATAAAATCAACCTCTCGCGACACCCCTCGGACTGTCACGCTCACGTGTGCTAATTCCACAATTTGCGCACACATGTGCCCATCCGCAAACTTAAGTTCTACATATACATTTTCAAATTGATGTCCATGCTTAATTAAGTGAGCTTTTAAACTAACACTACCTATAGAGTGCTTAGCACCTGTGTCCACAAGCATTGTACCTACTTCACCATAAATTTGTATTTTTAATACGGGACGCACTCGCGAATCTATTTTGTCACACGCGGAGACCGATTGGAACGAACTCGATACGGGTTCTATCGATTTCTTGTCTTTACATGTCGGACAGTTGGAACGTATACGTCCGGGTGTTCCGCACCCGAAACAGGTGACTGTCGGTTCCTTCCTCTCTGTAGCGCCCTCTTTGGCTTCAGAAGACTTTACCGCCAACCTCTGACATGCTTCCTTCAGATGACCATAACGCTTACAGTAAGCACACTGCGGTCGCTTACTAGAGCTAAACGACGGCGTAATCGATGGCTGTGTACTGCTTGATGGTAACATGGTTAATACAGGTTTAACATCTGACGTTACATTTAATGGGCGAGACTCATTAAGGATGTCCTCTACGCGCCTCGCTTGCGCTATTAGTTCTGCAAATGAAGTAAAACTAGAGCGAGGTACCTTCTCACGTATTCTTTTGTGTAATAAGCCATACGTCATGTCTAGTTGTATATTTTCCGTTAAAGAATGTGGCGGAAGTTGCGCGAACAACGCTCTGATATGACAAACGAATAAATCGGTGGATTCGTTAATCCGTTGTTCGCGTTCAAAAATAATTCTGAAGATTCTATGCGCAGGCAACCTAGGCCCGAAAGTCTGCCGTAGCGATTCCATAGCTGCTTGCCATGTCGGGGTGCTGTCTTTGACGCCCTGCCACCAAGTAGCGGCCAATCCTGTCAGTAACATAGGCAAACCTCGCAGCGCGACATCGTCGCTCATATTGACGCACGACTTGTACACCTCGATAGCATCTATGAATGCTAATACATCGCTGGTTTTAAGTCCATCGAAACGTGTAGAGCACTTCGCAAAGTTGCCGGACATATGTGTAGGAGTACTTACAGGAACTGCGGGACTTAGCCTGTTTATCAACAGCAGCAGCTGCTCTGTGGTCATGGTGATTGAAGCCGCAGCAGGATTTGCAGCTGGCGGCAGCGGCAGGGCGTGACCCTGATCCGCAATAACAGCGTCACTGTCACTCGATACAGCCGGTGGTGGCGCCGGCGCGGCCTCCAGGTCGCGCGGCGTCGACTCTGGCGCGCTCTCTGCCGGGAACAACGGCGGCACTACGCCCTCAGGCGAAACGCCAGCCGCGGCAGATGCGGGACTCGCAGCACGTGATCGCGTTAACACCATGATGTAACACAGTCAATCACAGGTCACAGTTCTTGGACAAAAGTACTTTATCGTAACTTACAGTTAGTCGGTATACACGTAAGTATACAAAATAGTTCACCCATAACAAAATATATTTTCTTTTGAGTTAACCGAGTCCATAAAACTAAACACGAGAGATAACACTAAAAGTTTAAGCAATAAGAAAGTTCGATTTTAATGGAAACAAATAACAATTATTTGTTTCCATTAAAATCGAACTTTCGGCGAATGACGCAACAGTGTTAAATACTACACAATAACTATACGCGCGCGGATGACGCAATAGTCGTTTACACACACGACAACAAAAGAAATTACGACCATCCGAATTTGTCACCTAGGTATAGGTACAGTATACCCGAAGTAATACCTAGCAACAGTTACAACGCACGTCGAAATATGTTTCGAAAAAGTACACTTCACTACACGAAAACACAGTTAATAACTGTTGAAATTTAAACTGAACTGTTTATAATAACAAAATTTAAACTGAACTGTTTATGCTCCACGTTGGGTTGCCACTTTTAGTATGAATAAAACGTCATTTAGTTATTTCGAAAGTACGAAGGTTTATTGAAGTATAATTTTAAACTAAAATTACTAAACAAAAAAAGAGAGACGATTCCAGATTCACGTTAAACTAATTAGGGATCGGCGGCGTCCCGACAGGATGCGCACGCGCGTGCTACTCGTGTAATGGCTCGCGGCTAACTGGTGGTGCGGGGGAATTCCGACGGGCACGCAGTCGGGCGGATTGTCGGGACGTCCCCGGAGCCCGTCCAATCCGAGAGGTGGCGTGATTTGACCGCGGTGCTATACAATGAATAATTCATGATTTCAATATATAAACCATTTTTTGGCAAGAGCTTTTTTAAAAATGCAATATTTAAACATGCATTTTTTAAAAATGCATTTACGTTATTTAAACTAACATATCTAACCAATTATAACTTATCGCTCTAAACGGATTTCTACGGAGAATTTTTTTGTACTACATTACATATTAGCTAATCCCTCAATCATATTCATAACAAACATAATCAATAATGCAACTTATTTGATAAATAATTATGTTATACAAGTAATTTGTATAAATAAATTATTAAATATTCAAAATCAAATGCTGCTTTCAATATCTAAATGTTCACCTACATAGAAATGAATTCGTCAATAAAAGAAAATTGTTATGAAGTAAAACATGTTTCGGTTATATTTTTTATAAAATACTTTTATAAAATGTCGAAACCTAATACGTCTCAATCAGATACCGTATCAGCACAAAGGTTGATAATTCGGCCTTATCGAATTATCAAGCCGCTGAAGCTACGCTCGAATTGAAGCGCTTTGAATAATTTAAAGATCGTCTATGGTAGGTACCAGATAAAATGAATTTTTAAGACGCCCTGGTTACATTTTTTTTACATTGAACAATGTAACGAAGTAAATTGTTTAATTATGTCACATAATATTGTTTATTTTTTTTTTTAATTATCTTTTTGTATATAAATTTGTTTTTGTATAAGTGAATAAATTATAGAAGTAAGCTTTGCTTTATACGTGTATATTGAAAAGAACAACTTACGAGTATTATATACATTCGCTACAATTTTGAAATAGTCTCTCAAAGTACATATTAAAAATGGGAATATAAAAGAACATAACATCAAAAGATTATATTAAATTCAAAAATTTCAAACACATATAGTAAAATCAAAATATATGTAAATTCTTTTTCTTGTTTTTGGATCTTTGAACTCAGCGCAGTAGGTGGGATTTTAATTCTATTTAAGAAAAAAAGATATTTTCCGACATTTGTCGGTGGTAGGGCCACGCAGCAGCTTCGGCTGTTGCACGAATGGGCAAGCCCGTCCGGGTAAGTACCACGATCTCACAGAAGACCAGCGTAAAGTGGAAGTATGACAAATACTTTCGCGTTTCGTCTTCGTGTGAGGTAGCCGGAGCCCAATTTTCAAAAGGTTGTCAACGCATCTGAAACCCGCGGATGTAGCGGATGTCCATGGGCGGCGGTTATTACTTAAATCATGTGAACCGTCTGCTCGTTTGGCAACTTTTCACATAAAAAAAATATATTTCTAATAAGTGTTTATGTAAGTATCATCAATTGACGCACTGTAGAAGTTACAATGCATCCGCCGTATAGTCCAGGCCCTTCCTTCAGATTTCTACTTGTTCCGGTCTCTTCAAAATTCTTTAGGCAATTATAGGTTAACATCACGAGATGACTGCCAAAACCACTTGTCGCAGTTTTTTGGTCAGAAGCCCCAGAATTTCTATAGCAATGGGATCATGCCCCTACCTACAAGATGGCAGAAAATTATCGAACCAAATGGCACCTACATACTTTAGTTAAATGTAAATATTTTTTTTAATAAAATATATTTTGAATTTTCATATAAAATGCGAAGAATAACCTATTTCTAACGATACTCGTAAACAGTCTTAACGGTAATAACAAAGTCTGGTTAATATAAGAGGTATACTACTTAATGTAATATAATTTCTCTCGAGGGACCATACTCCCGGTGGCTACAAATCAAAATGTTCATTGAAATTTTAAGTGTTGACACATGTGCTCACAGTATAAGGAAAACATCGTGCAAAACCCTGCATAAAAAAATATTTCAAAGATATGTAAAGTCTGCCAATCCGCGTTGGGTTGGTGACACGTGTGGTGGACTATGGCTTAATACTCTTCGCCCAGCAGTGTTACGCAATTTTACTTACTACCATCATTTTTTCACCTAGCCCACATCTTCATATTTCCGGATGCATGATCGATATCGATCGTTAATACATGTATATATCCATATGGATATATACATGTTTTAACTATCATCTTGCCTTCATATGTTTGTCGGAGTTAGGTGGATCACATAGGATAACTCGTTGTCACGTAGCATTGTAGTTTACTTGTTCGATTAAAATCGACAATAACGAAAATAACTATTAAACACACTGATGTAATTGAATCGAAACGTAGCAAGTTGGATACAGGAAGATGACCGCTCGCACAGTCCCTTTTCTAAGTAACATGCCCGAACACGTTCAGAACACACCCCCGTGTCCCGATGACAATTGACTTCCACAAATAATAACCGTCAAATGTCAAGTCTCTCACTTCCTGTATCGACCTTACTCAAGCGCACTACTTGACGTTTCCGAGAGCTACCAATAGATGGTGTTGTAATCAGATTATGGCGCCACATCTTGATCCTGCGACACGGCCATTCAGACAATTCACACGTCCTCTTGTGAAGCATCTCAAGCTTAAACCAACATCGTCTTATGCTAAACAGCATGTAATGAATTACAGCAGTTTATCTGGTTACAATCGAAATAAATAACTGATAACTTTCAATCGGAAACCAATGAGTCTAGTATGTAATACTCTACGCCTCAACCTGTTGTCTCCAACCGAGACCATTTAAGCGAGACCTAAATCCGGTACCCAATTTCAACACAAAACGCACTAATGTCTCCATACGGCACGCTAGTGGGACTTAACCAGTACCCACAAAACACTGCCTTGCCTAAATTCGGCACGCCAGTGGGACTTAACCAGTACCCACTAAATACTGCCAAGCCTAAATCCGGCACGCAAGTGAGACTTAACCAGTACACACTAAACACTGCCAAGCCTAAATCCGGCATACAAGTGGGACTTAACCAGTACCCACTAAACACTGCCATGCCTAAATACCGGCACGCAAGTGGGATCCACTCTATCCAGTATCCTAACGATAAAATAGGTCACTTCTCACATGAAGGTCTAACCCCTTCATCATCATTAAGTTCTCTCCAATTTCACTGGAAACTGATAATATCTCACCGAAGGTCGAACATAAATAGGCATGCCCTACTATCATAGTGGCCCGACGTCAAACGTTCTTATGGAGGCGTATGGGCACATCCCACGTTTTGCGTCCCACATTTATTGGCGAGACAGTACGCAGCCTTGTGGGACACCAGCGTTCACGAATTTAGCGTCGGACCAAGCACCGTCAACAAAGACTTTGATGCTCCGACGAGTAAGAAAACTGGTGATCCAGTCGCACAATTTCTCAGGAAGCCCGTAAGACGTAATGTTAGAGAGAAGTGCTTTATGCCAAACCCGATGGAAGGCTTTCGCTACATCCAAACTAACCACCAAGGCCTCACCCTTTGCCTCAAGTGCCTCCACCCATCGGTGCGTTACACTAGAAGGTCACCAACTAAGCGACCGCGTCGAAAACCGTACTGACGATCGTTAATGAACTGGTATTCCTCAAGGTACCCAAGGAGGTGGCAGTTTATAATGGACTACTTTATTTTAGAGAACAAAGAAGTGAGAGCAATAGACCTATAGTTCGACGAATCTGAACTTTCACCTTTTTTAGGGATCGGGTGCACTAAAGCCGTCACCCAAGAAGTTGGGATAATGCCTAGGGAGTAAGAGTGCCGGAAAAGACGCGTTAGGACCGGTGCCAACTCTGGAGCACACGCATAACACAATGGGTGGTATTCCGTCTGGCCCGCTCGACTTTTGGATGTCTAAGGAGAAGAGAGCTTTACGCACTGTGCTCTGCAGAAACCTTATTTCTGGCATTGTGTGCTCACACCGTGGGATGATCGGCGGTGTGTTCCCCTTACCATCCAGTGTCGCGAGTTAGACGCGAAGAGGGTGCCCAAAAGCTCGGCTTTCTGTTCAGCGGTGTGTGCCAACGAATCATCTCCCCTGTGCATAGATGGAAAAGATGGCGTACAGAAGTTTCCTTGGACAGCCTTGGCGAGAGACCAGAATGCACGAGTCCCAGAAGGAAGTTTAACTAATCTCTCGCCAATTTTGCCAAAGTGCTCTGACTTTGCTGATGGTATTGCTCTTTTGAAGGACCTAGAGGCAAAGTTGTACACCTTCTTAAGGTGACTGGTATTTACATCCCTAGACACCACTGCAACGAGAGAGGTCCGGATGAGTGGTC